ATAGACTAGACTATAGACTAGACTATAGACTAGACTATAGACTAGACTATAGACTAGACTATAGACTAGACTATAGACTAGACTATAGACTAGACTATAGACTAGACTATAGACTAGACTATAGACTAGACTATAGACTAGACTATAGACTAGACTATAGACTAGACTATAGACTAGACTATAGACTATAGACTACTATAGACTAGACTATAGACTAGACTATAGACTAGACTAAGACTAGACTAAGACTAGACTATAGACTAGACTATAGACTAGACTATAGACTAGACTATAGACTATAGACTAGACTATAGACTAGACTATAGACTAGACTATAGACTAGACTATAGACTAGACTATAGACTAGACTATAGACTAGACTATAGACTAGACTATAGACTAGACTATAGACTAGACTATAGACTAGACTATAGACTAGACTATAGACTAGACTATAGACTAGACTATAGACTAGACTATAGACTAGACTATAGACTAGACTATAGACTAGACTATAGACTAGACTATAGACTAGACTATAGACTAGACTATAGACTAGACTATAGACTAGACTATAGACTAGACTATAGACTAGACTATAGACTAGACTATAGACTACAGTTTTTTAGTCTGGCATAGTTGCTAATCTATAAATGCTAGACAATAGAATAACATAGAATTAGTGTAGTAAACATACAGCAAAAATATAATCACAGTCATCGTCATCATCATCTACTTGTTGTTGTTTCGGTTGTTTAGTCTTTCCCAAAACACTGTATAGGTTTGGCAAACCATGTATTTTTGTGGTAGTTTTCCAAATGTGGGTGCTAGATGAGGACACCCACTATTAATATACGTTTAAATGTTTCCATGAGTTGCTCACTGTAAACACTATTACGTTTTAACGTGTTGAGAAGTTAGTATTTAGTAGTAGTAGTAGCAGTAGAGGTTTAAATTGTAGAATTTTATGCAAATTAAACTAACAGCAAAAGAGATAGATACAAGCGTATACTAACCTCCAACTAAACTACTTCTAAATCTAAATGGCACAAAACGTCATGTCCATACACAGACATACCCCACGCTGCATTTTGTACCACCAATATCCAGGAGGTTTAGGTGAGTGTTAGAGAAATTATATGTATTATGTAGAATCTAGTTCATAGAATATTCACTTTTCAAATAGTCGAGTTTTTATATAGAAATTCTAACTACTATGAATAAGAATGACTTTTAAAGAGGTTGATAAATTGAAAGTTTATATATAGAAGTAGTTAGTAGCTGTACTTGGGCTATAAAATAATATTGAAATTTATTTAATTTGAGTTGATATTGTTTAACGAGAAGACCACTTATAGAATAAAAATGTAATTTGAAGTGAAATTTTTAGTTTTAGAGGGAAAATAATATAACAAAATTATTTTTTAATATAAACTATTAAACTATAAGCAGAACATGTTGCAAATATTTAAATTTAATTAAATTTTCTTTATGCTCTTACTATTTCACCCACACCCCTTACTTTTTAATGTACAATATCACACCATTTCATAGAAGTATTTTACCTTACATTTCTCAAATATATTTATAACAGTATCGTATTAATATTCATCATAATAATATTTTGTGCCATTTTGGGTTTTTATTTATAAAGTTAATATCGGTAGAATATCATCAGCGATAAGGGGAGATTGTTTAAATAATAATGTTGAAAAAATGTACATATATTAAACTCACATCGTAAATTTATATGTACCTAGTATATTTAAATAATGAAGAGGCAAAAGCCAAATAAAAGTGCCATCAATACATTGATGCCTTTGCTGCTGCCGCTGCTGATGATGACGATGATGACTTTGTTAAAAGGATAAAGGATCAGCATCAGGTATAATATCATCAATTTTAATTAAGTTTAAACGTGTGAAAGTGCATGAAAATTAACTGTTAAAATGACCGTTTATATGACAAAAAATATTTACACTCATATGTTAATTTAATATTATTTAAATAGCAATAAATTTTCCATTAAAAATTTATTTTATTATATAAAATGTTTAAAATTTAATTAAGGTTTAAAGTGATGTGAAGTTGAAAACGAAGTCAGTAAATAAAAGTATTATCCTGCTATCATATATCAATATTAAAGTTTTTAATATAGTCTTTAGTCTAGTCTATAGTCTAGTCTATAGTCTAGTCTATAGTCTAGTCTATAGTCTAGTCTATAGTCTAGTCTAGTCTATAGTCTAGTCTCTAGTAGTCTAGTCTATAGTCTGTCTATAGTCTAGCTATAGTCTAGTCTATAGTATAGTCTATAGTCTAGTCTATAGTCTAGTCTATAGTCTAGTCTATCGTCTAGTCTATAGTCTAGTCTATAGTCTAGTCTATAGTCTAGTCTATAGTCTAGTCTATCGTCTAGTCTAGTCTAGTCTATAAGTCTAGTCTATAGTCTGTCTATAGTCTGTATAGTCTAGTCTATAGTCTAGTCTATAGTCTAGTCTATAGTCTAGTCTATAGTCTAGTCTATAGTCTAGTCTATAGTCTAGTCATATAGTCTAGTCTATAGTCTAGTCTATAGTCTAGTCTATAGTCTAGTCTATAGTCTAGTCTATAGTCTAGTCTATAGTCTAGTCATAGTATAGTCTATAGTCTAGTCTATAGTCTAGTCTATAGTCTAGTCTATAGTCTAGTCTATAGTCTAGTCTATAGTCTAGTCTATAGTCTAGTCTATTAGTCTAGTCTATAGTCTAGTCTATAGTCTAGTCTATAGTCTAGTCTATAGTCTAGTCTATAGTCTAGTCTATAGTCTAGTCTATAGTCTAGTCTATAGTCTAGTCTATAGTCTAGTCTATAGTCTAGTCTATAGTCTAGTCTATAGTCTAGTCTATAGTCTAGTCTATAGTCTAGTCTATATTCTAGTCTATAGTCTAGTCTATAGTCTAGTCCTATAGTCTAGTCTATAGTCTAGGTCATAGTCTAGTCTATAGTCTAGTCTATAGTCTAGTCTATAGTCTTAGGTCTATAGTCTAGTCTATAGTCTAGTCTATAGTCTAGTCTATAGTCTAGTCTATAGTCTAGTCTATAGTCTAGTCTATAGTCTAGTCTATAGTCTAGTCTATAGTCTAGTCTATAGTCTAGTCTATGTCTAGTCTATAGTCTAGTCTATAGTCTAGTCTAGTAGTCTAGTCTATAGTCTAGTCTATAGTCTAGTCTATAGTATAGTCTCTAGTCTAGTCTATAGTCTAGTCTATAGTCTAGTCTATAGTCTAGTCTATAGTCTAGTCTATAGTCTAGTCTATAGTCTAGTCTATAGTCTAGTCTATAGTCTAGTCTATAGTCTAGTCTATAGTCTAGTCTATAGTCTAGTCTATAGTCTAGTCTATAGTCTAGTCTATAGTCTAGTCTATAGTCTAGTCTATAGTCTAGTCTCTAGTCGAGCCTGTAGTCTAAATTCTAGTCTATAATCGTGCCTATAGTATAGTCTATATTCGAGCCTATAGTCTGGTCTATAGTATAGTCTATAGTCTAGTTTATAGTCGGTATTGGTATTGGTACTCAACTTTGACTCATTGACGCACTAAATCCATCACCTCCTGTGAAGGATATGAGTTCATAAATACATAATGTCTATGGATTTATATTTAAGTGGCAACATTTACTTTAAATCTTGATTTCGTAAATATTTTTCGTCTGCAAATTGTACCACTATAAGGACTATGAAAAAAGAGAAGACTCAGCAGTGACATTATCACTCAAGCTAAAAATGTCATCATCAACGTGGGTAAGTGAACATTAAAAAGAAAATTTAAACAACATAAAAAGTAAAAGCAGAGCCAAAAAGGAATTTGTTCACCATAGATCTTACAGGAAACTGCTGTATATTAATTGAAATGTGCTAAGCTGTTGTTATTAGTCGTTTTAAATAATTTAATAAAGATTTAAAAAATTCCTTATGAATAAGGTTGCAAATAGATTAACATGTAAATTTATGTACAATTAATTGGTGAATCATTTTTGATGAAGTAATTCCTTTAGATTTCTAGTACTTTTCGTTGCATGACAACGGACAACAAATTTATGCACATCGAACGAAAATGTCTATCAAATTGGCAGACATTATAGATAAAATAAGAATGAAAGAGTTTTTTGTCTTTTTAGTTTTTTATTTTTATAATTTTTAAAAGAATTTGCGACAGTTTGAAAAAAAAAATAAAAGATTAAAATTAAATAAATTTAAACAAAAGTATTTTCAAAAGGTTAACAAATTTCTGATGATGCCTTTACATTTTATAGAGATTTTATAAAAAAATATACAATTCCAATTGTTAATATAACTTCTGAATGCCTTTAGATATTTTTGACATGTTCTGCAAAACCTCTATATTTTCTGTGGGAGGGGGGGGAGTAGGCAGCAGCTATTCGACGATTTTATTTTATCATAACATTATTTAAAAATACTGACTGTAAAGTGTATTAACGTAAAATATCTTGAAATAAAATGGGCCTCCGCCATTGATAAGCAGCATCAATGGCAGTGGTAACTAGTAGCAGCAACCATCAATATTAAATTGGAACGTTTAAAAAAATATTTATATTAACATAAAACTCAGATTGAGACCCAGCAGTTTTGAAAGAAACCAATGTATGCTTTTTCATAGCAATTTTCAACATACATATCTAACTACCAAATAGATTCGAAAATCAATTGTAATATTAGTGCAGATATCGGCAAAGAGCTCTCTATCTCTCTCGGCAAGAATGACAGCTCATTCAGTTGCAAATAGGAAGCAAGCAAAACAAAGCTAAGAGCACATTTTTCACTCTCATTCGATCCCATATCTCTACATAAATAATATAGAGAAAAGACACTTGAACTTCTCCAATCACCAATTTGGAGAAATAAACTTCGAACAACAGGAAAAGAGCCATTAATACAAACATATACTCTTATAGGTGGCGCTCACATACAGAGATACTGACACAAACAGACAACAAAAACATACCTGGAATGGCATATGGCGAAGGATGCGGTGATGGCAGCCAATATGCGGAATTTATTGAAGGATACGCTTTAAACGATGATGAGTTTAATAACGATGAAGCTCTACTACCACCACTATAACTGCCACTACCACTTGCAGTTTTTGAAGGAGTTGTAGCAAATGGTAATTGCAATGATAGTGAATGTTGCTGGTTTTTCTGCTGCTGTTGTTGTCGTTGTATAATATTATTGGCAGCAGTTGTTAGTGAGTTTGTTAATGTTGAAAATGCAATATTGCTGCTGTTGTTGTTGTTACTACTGATGCTTTTATTGGTATTACTATTACTGCTACTGAAGCTGACGATGTTATTGTAGTTGTTGATCAGTGTATTGCTATCAATAGCAGAATAACTGCTACTGCCACTACTACCAATATTACAATTATTATGGGATAAATTCTCAATTACCGACGGTAATTGGCTGGTTCTGTTGCAGGAATCCTTATTGTAGTTGATATTATTTGCAGTGGCGGTACTGACACCGACACAAACACTGTTGCTGTTACTGACACTTGTAATGTTACTAGTATTACCACTACAACTAAAGTTATTACTATTATTACTATTACAACAGCTACTTTTAGTTGTACCTGAACTACTACTGCTGCTGGTATCATTGTTATTTGCATAAACCATTCGGGATGGTAATAACAATGAGCAGGTTTGTGTAGTTGTCATTGTATTATTATTTGTTGTTGTTGTTGTTATATTTGTAGTATTATTTAACATGACGTTATATGTCAATGAGTTGTCAACAAAGCCCAAATGTTTCGTTTGTTATTCAAGTTGCCGAAAAAAAATATACAGCCGCAAAAACGAAAATAAGCGAAAAATAGAAGAGGAAACCAATTTGTAGTAGTAGTTGTATTTGTGAGAATTAAATACGTGATATAAGTCCTTCGTCCTTTTTTTTTTATTACGTACACGTTTTTTTGTCTCTGTTAACACAGGTACTTTATATTTTTGTTTAATACACACTGACATGTAGTAGTTTACAGAAAAAATATGTATATAGACTTTATTTTTTATTCATATAAAAATAAAAAATTAAACAATTTCGATTACTGGTTATTTTCTCTTAATCAATAAACAATTATTAAATACCATAAAAATTGTAGGTAAGTTTTACTTTTTTCGAATACAATATCAATAAACAATTTCATGTGGAATTAAATTATAAAGAAAACACAGAGGGGGAAACAGAAAAAGTAGAACATTCAATGAATGGTTTAACACAAACACTGTTTCCTGCTAGAGAACTAACAACCATTATATTGGCTAACTGAAAAACGAAAAAAAAATTCCTTGTTAAGGAACTGTGCAACCAAAACATTCGTTATCGATAGAGACTGTTTATGATATACAAATTAGTTTTTTATAAATTCATCTTTTAATAAATAATATTTTTCCCTACCATATATGGAAGAGGAGTAAAAGGATTTTGTTATTACTTGTATAACGCATTGAAATATTAATCGAAGATGAGCCAATAGAAACCATAAATATGGGTGTAATAAAATAATGGTCTTTGTAAAAGCAACATGAGAAATAAAAAAATTCAAATTGAATTATTTTTAACTGAACTAGAATTGAACTAGAATTACACTAGAACTGAACTAGAACTGAACTAGAACTGAACTAGAACTGAACTAGAATTGAGCAGTAACTGAACTAACTGAACTAGAACTGAACTAGAACTGAACTAGAACTGAACTAGAACTGAACTAGAACTGAACTAGAACTGAACTAGAACTGAACTAGAACTGAACTAGAACTGAACTAGAACTGAACTAGAACTGAACTAGAACTGAACTAGAACTGAACTAGACTGAACTAGAACTGAACTAGAACTGAACTAGAACTGAACTAGAACTGAACTAGAACTGAACTAGAACTGAACTAGAACTGAACTAGAACTGAACTAGAACTGAACTAGAACTGAACTAGAACTGAACTAGAACTGAACTAGAACTGAACTAGAACTGAACTAGAACTGAACTAGAACTGAACTAGAACTGAACTAGAACTGAACTAGAACTGAACTAGAACTGAACTAGAACTGAACTAGAACTGAACTAGAACTGAACTAGAACTGAACTAGAACTGAACTAGAACTGAACTAGAACTGAACTAGAACTGAACTAGAACTGAACTAGAATGAACTAGAACTGAACTAGAACTGAACTAGAACTGAACTAGAACTGAACTAGAACTGACTAGAACTGAACTAGAACTGAACTAGAACTGAACTAGAACTGAACTAGAAACTGAACTAGAAATGAACTAGAACTGAACTAGAATGAACAGAAACGACTAGACTGAATAGAACTGAACTAGAACTGAACTAGACTGAAACTAGAATCTGAACAGAAATGAACTAGAAATGAACTAGAACTGAACTAGAACTGAAACTAGAATGAACTAGAACTGAACTAGAATGAACTAGAACTGAAACTAGAACATGAACTAGAACTGAACTAGATGAACTAGAATGAACTAGAAATGAATAGAACTGAACTAGAACTGAACAGAACTGAACTAGAACTGAACTAGAACTGATTAGAACTGAACTAGAAACTGAACTAGAACTGAACTAGAACTGAACTAGAACTGAACTAGAACTTGAAAGAAACTGAACTAGATGAACTAGAACTGAACTCTAGAATTGAAATAGAACTGAACTAGAAATGAACTAGAACTGAACTAGAACTGAACTAGAACTGAACTAGAACTGAACTAGAACTGAACTAGAACTGAACTAGAACTGAACTAGAACTGAACTAGAACTGAACTAGAACTGAACTAGAACTGAACTAGAACTGAACTAGAATTGAACTAGAACTGAACTAGCTAGAACTGAACTAGAACTAGAACTGAACTAAACTGAACTAAGACTGAACTAGAACTGAACTAGAACTGAACTAGAACTGAACTAGAACTGAACTAGAACTGAACTAGAACTGAACTAGAACTGAACTAGAACTGAACTAGAACTGAACTAGAACTGAACTAGAACTGAACTAGAACTGAACTAGAACTGAACTAGAACTGAACTAGAACTGAACTAGAACTGAACTAGAACTGAACTAGAACTGAACTAGAACTGAACTAGAACTGAACTAGAACTGAACTAGAACTGAACTAGAACTGAACTAGAACTGAACTAGAATTGAACTAGAACTGAACTAGAACTGAACTAGAACTGAACTAGAACTGAACTAGAACTGAACTAGAACTGAACTAGAACTGAACTAGAACTGAACTAGAACTGAACTAGAACTGAACTAGAACTGAACTAGAACTGAACTAGAACTGAACTAGAACTGAACTAGAACTGAACTAGAACTGAACTAGAACTGAACTAGAACTGAACTAGAATGAACTAGAACTGAACTAGAACTGAACTAGAACTGAACTAGAACTGAACTAGAACTGAACTAGAACTGAACTAGAACTGAACTAGAACTGAACTAGAACTGAACTAGAACTGAACTAGAACTGAACTAGAACTGAACTAGAACTGAACTAGAACTGAACTAGAACTGAACTAGAACTGAACTAGAACTGAACTAGAACTGAACTAGAACTGAACTAGAACTGAACTAGAACTGAACTAGAACTGAACTAGAACTGAACTAGAACTGAACTAGAACTGAACTAGAACTGAACTAGAACTGAACTAGAACTGAACTAGAACTAAACTAGAACTGAACTAGAACTAGAACTGAACTAGAACTGAACTAGAAATGAACTAGAACTGAACTAGAACTGAACTAGAACTGAACTAAACTAAAATAGTACAGATCTATAACTTCAACTGAAGGGTGTTAAAAATTAAGTAAATTCTACTTATTTTTCGCATTCTTGGAAGTTTTTTTCTGCTTAGGCATAATCGGTATTTTAGAATATATAAATGTAGCTTAAGTAGGATGTTTGACAAGGCGCATTACTACTGCCAGGAATGAAAATGACATAAATATTATAAAAATTTATAACTTCAGGATATTATGCTTTAAAAATACACACAAAAATTAGGTATTCATTTAAAGGTATGTAAATGGCATAGGAATACACATATAAAAACCCAATAAAAAAATTCTATAAAAAATTATTTAAAATAATATTTATTATACAAACGCTGGAAAAACACTTAAAGGCAACAACATTTAAAAAACCCACTTAAACGAATCGATATGATTCATAAAATAAAAATAGACACACACACATAAGTAAGTTGAGAGTAAAGTAAATAAACAAAATTAACAGTTATAAAATAATTTTTTTGGTAAATTTAAATTTAATTTAAGCTACATTTTTTACAATTTTATTTTATAAAGTTTATATTGATTTTTTTCAAAATTTAGCCACACATTTACACATAAACACATTGTTTGGTTTTTTTTTCCAAACACATATAAATTATTATTAAAAAAGAGATTTAAAGAACTGTTTTATGACCAACAAATTAATCATATTTATGGTATAAAATATATATTTTCCATTGAGTTATTTTGTTGCTTATATTTATTTACAATATTATTATTATTATTTGGTACTATTTTGCATAATAAATTATTCAACACGTATAAAAAAACACACATGAAAAATAAAACATTTAATTTTTGTTTAAAATTTAAATTAAAAAAATTTCAACAAATAAATTTACATTATTTCATTTGGGTTTTTTGTATTATTATTTAAAAGTTATATTATTTTTTATAAATATATTTTTTTTATTTTTTATTATATTTTTTTAAATAATTAAATTTAAACGTTCAACAATTAACACGAAAAATAAATGTATTTAGCAGATAAAAATTTTTGATAAATTTTCTTCAATTTGCACTTGTGTTAAACGTTGCATTATTTATTTGTAAATGTTGCATGCTGCCATTTAATCAGATCGTTTATACCTCATCAATTGATTGCCAATTTTTTTTTTCGAAAATTTTCTGACTATTTAATTTCTATCAATCTAAAAATAAGTTTCAATATGTTGTTTTTTTTATATTTTTGAATTGAATGAGTGACAACAGTGTACAGATTTCATTACAATTCGTTTCAGTAGAATTTTAATTTATACGAAATTTAAAACAAAAAGAGGAAGACTACCGACAGCCTGTTTAATGATAGTCTGGCGGTGTGTTTTTCTGTTGAGTAAAGGCTCTTCGTTTTTTAATTAAATGACAGTATATCAGTGACATGACAATTTTATTTGAATTTTTTTTAAATTTCATAAGGGGTGTTTCATTAATAATATTTAAATAAAACATAATTAATCCATAGATTAAATTATTTGCACCTTGCTTATTGAATTGTGTGTCATTCTTCTAGTGTCGTTGCCAAAAACCATGAAAACAAGTTCGAAATGTACAAAAATTTTAGACATTTCACTCAGAAGAAATTTTAGTGCAGAGGGGACGAAGTGAAAGTTAAAGAAAAAGTCGGATTAGTTAATT